GAAAATTTTGTATCTAGTTATGAAACCAATTATTCCAAACTTTAACCAAACTAGTCATTTTTTTAGTTTGATTTAATTCTAACTAAAATCTAATAAAAAGAACTAAAGCAAAGCTTTGTAAATGGCTTTTCATAATCATGAAGAAAACTCGACTTTGTAAAAATACTAGAACTTCCTATATATTTCCACTTTAATTTTATGTAATTGATCAATGCATTATCAACTATCATATTTTTTTTCAAACAATCTCTCTCGAGTACGTTAAACCTATTCTTACATATGATCTTCATATATCTCCATTTAAGATACAAATACATAAGAACAAATGTAAAATGATGAACGTTAAAAGTTCATAAAAAGTATAAGGGTAACTCTCCATCTCTTGTCAAACTTAACCATAATTACTAATTGCACTAAACCTATATTTATCCCCTCCAAAAATAATAAAAATTCCAAAATGCATTCAAAGGGTGATCAATTGTTCAAACGTAACAAGAATATAGAAAATATTCAACCAAACATGCGATTAAAGTCAAAAAGGAAAACATGAACTTAAAGCTTTAAAATGCGATTTTCATCAACATCCTAGCTATGAAAAGTATATCCTAGAATATTTGAAATACAAGAATTTATATATGCAAAGTAAAGCATTACCCAGATTAAAACGTAAGAAGTAAAATGATGATAAGTCATAAATTGTCGTTTCACTTGTTGCGTAACTATTACTTGCCTTCTTCTTCCTCCAAAACTGAAAAAACCTAGGCTGCTTTCGTATGTAGAGGGGCGGATGCAGAAGTTTAAAGTTAAGAGGGCACGATCAAACTTCAAAAGAAATTGGAAGAAATTTTACAATCGAAAATTTACGTCTAAAAAAATCATACCCCATATAATTTTGCATCCGAAAATTTACATGGGATATGACTTTTTCTGATATAAAATTTCAAAAAATTTGATGTCATATTCCGTATAAAATTTCCTAATGAAATGAAGAAAATTATATTAAAAAACTTGTATTGCAAAAATAATAAATGTTAGTAAAATAATTGAATTTTTTTAAAGAAAATGCGAGTTAAATGTCTTTCTTTAAAATTTACGTTTAACGCATTTTTAATTATTTTCAATATTTGTTTGAATTAAATGAGTTTTGAAATAAAATAAGCAATTTGTAGATTCGATTAGCGTACGATAGCCGAAATTTTTTTAAAGTTAACACGTTATCGAAATTTTCGAAATACTAATTTTGAACAGCTTACATTGACAAGTCGTAGCATTTGCTACGATTGATCGTTTCGTACGCCATGAACGACGTAAAAAACTAGACTGTGAACACTTCGAAATTGTATTAATAATGCAATATTTCGTCATTGTTTGATGGAAAGTTAAGATTTTATTAAAATGAAAGAGAAAAAGAGAAAAATTAAAATTTATTGTGATTTTGCCCCTATTTGATGGAGATTAAAATCAAATTTTTAGTAAACTTTGATAAAAGTTAAATAGTTATGTATTTCATGAAATATGTTATTAAAATTAATTGTTAATTTTGATTTAGATTAAAATTTATATTTCAATCAATACTAAACATAATTTTTTATATAAATAAAGAAAAAAAAAAACTCAAAATTTGGGAGCAAGTGCCCCCGCACCCCGGTCCCCCCTGCTCGATTGTGCAGAATTATCCTCTGTTTATTTCATCAGCCCATTTTTCCAATCTATCTTAACGAAGGATCGACTAATGCTATAAAATGACAACTCATGGAACCCCAGCAAAATCCAGCCTAGTCGTCATAAGAAATTTGAGTTTTCCTTTCCTTTCAAGAGAGAGAAAAA